GAGTTCTGGGACAGGACACAGGCCCCTAGTGGATCGTACAGGCAACTGTTACAATCTTTTTTGCATTGGGCAGCTTGTGGGCAAGGGACAGACAGCACTCTGCAAAAGCTTGGGGTCCCACGCTGGCTGGTGTGGCTAAGGTGGTGGGAGTGTCCTCCTGAGCAGGAAGGGTCTTGGTTTCGATTCCTGGTCAGGTACATAGGCAAGTTTCAGGGCTCCATCCTCGGTCAGAGGGCATACAGGGAGCAACTGATGGGTGATTTCTCTCACACATTGATAATTCTCTCTCTCTCTCTCTCCTCTCAAATAATCAATAATAAAAGACATATCCTCAGGTGAGGATTTAAAAACAAAAAAACTTGGGGTTCCCTCCTGCCATGCCCCTGGCAAGGACTTGTGCCTTTGAGTGCGGGTGTCTGGGCCTGCAGGTGTCTGGGCCTGCAGGAGGCAGGAGGACGCCAAGCTGGCTTAGCACGCAGTAGCCCTGGAGTAGGCCTGGAGAAGGTTCCAGCTCCAGCAAGTCTGCTTCCAGGCCCAAGGCTCTGGGCGGGGGTCCAGACACCTGAGCACCTGGGAAGGGAGGGAACAGCCTAGCCAGGCACCTGGTGTCAAGGTGAGGTCCCACCTTTTCTGGGATCTGTGGTCCAGCAGGAAGGAGGTGGGCAGGGCTGAGCTAGAGGTGAAGCCAGGACCTGGGGAGAGGCCTGCTTGTGCCCAGGGAGCGGCAGGCAGTGCAGGTGGTGGCCACACTTTGCAAACCTGCCTTGGTGATGAGTGGGGGAAAGAGCATGGGTGTGCCCAGGTGGCCTTTGGGTGCCTCTGCCTCCTGAACTGTAAGAAGTGCCACTAGGGCAGGTCAGATCAGGTGCCAGGCAGTAGATGGTCCTTCCCCAACCTTTTCCCAGGGTCCTTGCTGGGATCTGGGCGAGACCTAGTAGGCTTCAACTGCACCTCAAGTTAGACTGTAGGAGGAACTTCCAGGGAAAGCAAATGGGCTGACTGTGGGATAGACTGTGAGGAAGTCCGTTATAAACAGGGCCACTACACTTTTCTCCTGAGTCTTGCAAAGTCCAGTCTTCTGGATGGCCCATCCTGTGGCCTTGGCTGCAGGGATCTCTCGGTTGACCTGGTGACCCCGCCCCCGGCTCTGTGGCTTGCAAGGTGATCTGTTGGCTTCTTGGAACTAAGGTGCGAGGGGGATAGGAGGCCACCCAGATGCTCCTTCCTACCTGCTCCTTGACTTTGGCGAGTCCTTGGCTCCTCCGTTTATCCATCTGCTATTGGGCATGACCTCGGTGTCGTGGGCCTAGTGGGCATTTGTGAAGAGTGAAGGTGGGGGTGGGAGCTCATGGCTGCCGGGCATAGTCTGTGGCAGGACTGTGTGCCCGGGCTTGCCGCCCACTTCTGTTCACCATGGAGCTGGGTTTCCCTGGGGACCAGTGGACTGGCCCAGCCCCACCCACCCCCAGCCCCTCCTGGCAGCAGCTCCCCCTGGGAGGAGGGGTAGAGGCTGGGCTGCCTCCTGGACCCCTTGCCTGGCTTCCAGGGCCTGGCAGCCTGGGTCTACTTCTGGGCTGGGAGCAAGAAGCAGGGGGTTGCCCTTAAAGGAGGTGGGTATCCATAGCCTGGCAACGAGGGTGGGTGCAGGGACCAGGGAGCACTAACTGCCATCCCCTTGTAGGAAGAGGACCAGGAAGGCTCTCGTCTGCCCAAGGGGATCTCGTGTTTGACCCCAGCCATGGTAGCCTCCCTGGAGAAAGGAGGGTTGCAGGGCTCCCAGGCTGCCAGATTTTGAGGGGGCAGCAGAAACGGGGGAGTTCCTGGACAAGGCCGCTGTGGGGCTGGACTTACAAATCTGGCAGATTCCTCTGGCAGTGGGCACAGCCCAGGCAAAGGTGGGAGTGGGGAGTGAGGGTGCTGAGCCTGGAGGGCCTCACAGAGGAGGTGCCCTCCAGGGTCCCATTGTTCCTCTGGGGTCTGGCTCCCCTATTTGAAACATTTCCCAGCTCCAATGTGGGCCTCTCCTAGGAGCCCCTCCCCACAGAGTCTTCCTCTCTGTGTTTCTACTCACATCCCCATCTAAGCCCCGATCCTTACAGATGCTCCTCTCTCTACCCCTACAGGTCCTGAAGGCAACTCCAGTTGGGATGGCAACATCAGCATTTCTAAGGGCCGTGGGGGGTCCAGCCCCGCTGGGGGCACCCTAGCCTCCCACAGCCCACCATCTGTGCACCTGCCCCCTGCCCATTTGAGGGCCACTCGCCATGGGCGGCTGCTTCTCCAAGCCCAAGCCAGGTACCTCCTCTCTTCTTGCTTACCCGCTCCTCCGTCCACCTTCTACCCTGCTTCTTTCCTCTCTCCATCTCTCCTCCCTCCTCCCTGCCACCTTCCTCCACCCCCTCCCTCTCTGCCTCAGAAGTAGGTCAGGCTGGGTGGCAGCCGAATGTTAATGCGCTGCAGGCGGGAGGGGGTGGGGGGCCTGGAGCCATACTTCTGGCCCCCCTTCAATGACCCTTCCTCTTTATTTTGGGCTGTGGGTGCTGGTGGTAGGGATAACAACTGATTCTTTCTTGGAAAGGGGAGGGGAGGGTTCCTCCTGCCACAGGGCGGGGAAGGGTGGCCGTGTCCCCCAGGGCCAGGGAACGGGGCTCTGGGGACAGACGTCCTCAGCCACTGTGGGGCCCGGGGTCTGCACGTGACCTCTCTGAGGCTCACTTTCCCTCTCTGCAAAATGAACCTGACCTCTCAGAGTTGCTGTGAGAGCAGAGTGGACAGATCCCAGCCCTCGTCACCTCTCCTGACCCCTGTGTGACCTTGGGCCACTTTCTCAAGCTTTCAGGGCCATTCATACAGGAAATCCCCACCCTGCCTGGCCCAAGGAGTTTCAGCCCAGGGTGCTGGGAAGACCTGGGTGTGCTCTCGGATGGAGACGCTTCTCTGCTGGGCTCTCCCTCGGGCCCCACTTTCCCTCCTTTATCCTCACAATACCCAGGAAGGCCAGGGGCGCAGGCATGCCTCAGAGGAAGAAACTGAGGCCAAGAGGCCTCCCTAGCACCTAGGCAGTGCCCCGCCCACCCTGTCCAGGCCACGCTGCCCAGGATGGCTCACCCCATCTCCCCTTACCTGATACCCATCGGCTCCATTACCTTGGAACGCCTGAGCCTTTTCTCCTTTTCCTGGGTCTGAGGGGAACTTGGGGCAGGAGGAGATGTGTGACGCGCTGTCAGGCAGAGGGACTCGCCCACACCTGCCCTCCCCTCCTGTGCTGTGGGCACTCAGATCCCACCACCCTACCCGCCTCCTTGGTAAATGATGTCCACTGTCTTGACCTCAGCCTTCCCCCACCAGAGTCGGGCGGGAGGATGCTGGCTGGCCCTGGCAGGAGGCCCTGGACAGAAGATGCCACCTGTCATTTTCCTTTAAAGAAACACAGAGGCTGGCCTGCCTGGGACCCCTGGCCCCAGGACTCCTAGTATAGGAGCTGGTCACATGTACCACCCCAGACACAATGCTGAGAACTGGGCCTCTTGAGTCCAAATCCAGCCTCCCTTCCTGAGTGTGTGGTCTTGGGCAGGTGACTTCACTTTTCCGAGTCTTTGTGTTCTCACCTGGAAAATGGGCTAATAATTCTGCACCCTCTGCAGGCTCGTGCGCTTAGCGCAGGGTCTGGCACACAGGCAGCACTTGCAAAACGTTATTCTGTCCTCTTTCGGGGCTAGACTGGCTGCAGCCAGGACTCCCCTGTGGGGCTATGGCGGGAAGGCAGGAGCTCAGGCCCCAGGCACATACCCTGGGCTGATCAAGGATGAGACTCAGGAAATTTCAGGGTGTGGGAGTGAGAGCATTTGACCATGAGGGTTTAGCTGAAGATCAGAAGGGACCACAGGGAAATCAGATAAGTATATCTTTGTGCACATTCTTCACTTTCTACCTTGCTCAGAGCACATCAGCACACATTCCTTCCTCCCCATGCTTCAGTGGCACTGTGTTCCTTAGAGGAAGCGTTCCAGGCCAGACTCCTGCTAAGCTCAGAACTAGAAGGAAGTGCACCTTTCTTGGTATCTGCTCACCTGCCTTTTATTCAGTCACAAGTGCTACTGAAAGGCTTTCCCTTTTCTTCACAGCTGCCAGGAAGCTCGAAGCTAGCCAATAAACCACTATGACCCAGGTGCATCTGTTGAGCTTCTGCTCTGGTTTACATATTGCATATGTTATCTCCTTCAGCATCCACTCACCAGTGGGCAGCTGGGAACCATGGAGTTGGGGTTGCTTTGGCTCTTGAGTGAGCAGAGACGCTCCTCCCCTTTCCGCCACTGCTCCTGCCTTAATGGCTCTCAGTTAGATTGCTCCAGGCAGCGCCTCTGGAAGGAGGTGGAGGATGAAAACAGCCTGGCTGGGCTCTTACTGGGCCCTTGCCAAGCTGCTCTTGTGAGCTCCCTCTCTAAAGCTCACACAGCTGGTGTCAGCTGGGTTCAAAGTATTTTTCTCTTTAATTCTTCTGAAAACATTCTAACACTATTACATAAAGTGTGGAAGACGGAGGGAAAGCCCACTCCACCCACAACCACCCCCACCTGACACAACAGCTTCAGCATGTGGTGTGCCCAGGTGCCCCTGCTGCCCAGCTGGAATCATAGGGTAGACCTTCACTCCAGCTGGGGGCTGGAACTTGAGGATGGGGGGCTGCCCCCCAGTCTTCCAGGCCCGGCCATGATAGGGGATTAGCACAGCATGAGATGAGGGACATGCAGGGGCTGGGCAGCCAGGGGAGGCAACACCTGAGCTGTGTCTAGGTGGATGGACAGGAGTTAGCCAGGGCCATGGGCCAAGGGAATTGCATAGGCAAACGCTGGGAGGCATGATTCTGGGTTCTTCGCTTCTGAAGTGTCAGGCTTGAGGGTGTGGAGAGGATGAGAGGTGAAGCCGGGAGATGCCTGGAAGCTCTGGTGCCTTGGGAGTTGGGAGAGGAACCTTCTGCTTCCTCATTGGCCCACGCCATGCCAGGGGCTTAGCTTTCACTCAGCCTCCCTCCCTGCAGCAGCAGCCCAGGAGGCCGGATTATCACTGCTCAAAATTCTGTTTATTGTTCCCTTCTAATTGGAAAAATACCCCAGGCACTTTGTGGGGGAATTTAGAAAATGCAGAAAAGTATAAAGAAGAAAATGACAGTCTCTGGCAACTCTCCCCTAGAGTTGGCCCCACGGGCAGGCTGTCAAGTATCTTCTGTGTTGAGGCTGGTGTGTGTGGGTGTGTGTGTGTGGGGCGCTGTGCCCTCTCTGCTCTGTCCCAGACTCCTGCACGTGAAGATGCTGTAAAACCAGGGCTTGGTAAATGCTGAAAGATTCTCAAACTGGTGAGAATAGCTATTTTTAAAAGTTGACTTTATGTCGTGTACACTTTTTCTGAATTTTGAAAAAAAATTTCAAACCGCCCTAACTGGTTTGGCTCAGTGGATAGATCGTTGGCCTGCGGACTGAAGGGTCCCAGGTTTGATTCCGGCCAAGGGCATGTGCCTTGGTTGCGGGCACATGCCCTCTCCCTTCCTCTCTGTAAAAAATCAATAAAATCTATTTAAAAAAAAAAATTTCAAACCTATGGGGAAGTTGCAAGCCTAAAACAATGAACCCTCAATTTCCCATCCTCAGATTCACAGGCTGGGACCTGAGCTACACGGATTTGGGATGCCCTGTTCTCACTTGAGTCAGACCCTAAACCTGCCCCTTATATACCTCAGGGATGTTGTTGTCCTCCACTGGGGACTGTCCTGGGAGTCAGAGCAAGATTCAGGGCTTTTCCTCCACACAGATTCCTGGAGAAAAGGTGATGTCAGGGTGGAAGGAGTTCTGTTTGTGCCCCCCTCACTAATATTGTTATTGAAAAAAAAATCATGCAGAGATCAGTTCAGGCCCACCCAGCGCCCACCCTGCTGCCCCTGCCCTGCTTCGTGCCTACTGTAAGGCTCCTTGCTGGTGGAGTGGGTGAGGAGGTGGGTGGGCGGGGGCTCACCGTGCCCCGTACCCCCCCACAGTGGAGCTCAAGATCGAGGTGGTGCTGCCTGAGAAGGAGCGGGGCAAGGAGGAGCTGTCAGCCAGCGGGAAGGGCAGCCCCCGGGCCTACCAGGGCAACGGCACTGCCCGCCACTTCCACTCGGAGGAGCGTCTGCCTGCCCCGCACCCCTACCCTGGTGCTCAGGACTGCGTGGAGGCCGCTGTCTGCCATGTCAAGGACCTCGAGAATGGCCAGTGGGTGCTGGGCCTGGTACAGGGGTCAGAGGGACCCAGGTGGGAGGGCAAATACAAGCCCTAGGTAAGGTGGATGGGGCGGCCTGGTGGGGCCCGAGGCTAGCTCCCAGCCTGGCCACAGCCTTGTGGCTTCTGCTGGTCTGGGCCTGTTCCCCAGAAGGCTGGACTCTGGGAGGAGGTGCGGCCTCACTCCTGGCCTGAATTCTGAGCGCAGCCCCTCCCCAGGATGCGGGAAGTGGAGCTGGGCTGGGGGAAGGTGCTGCTGGTGAAGGACAACGGGGAGTTCCACGCCCTGGGCCACAAGTGTCCACATTACGGTGCCCCCCTGGTGAAAGGTGAGTTGTCTGGGGTCTCCTGAAGTGGGCGTGGCCACTGCACCATTAAGCCCCAGCGCCACCAGCACAGCCCAGCTTGGCTCCTCCCTGGGCCTCCAGTTCCTCACCTCCTGGCGGGGTCTCGGGGGCTGTGTGGAAGGGCCAGCAGGTGCTGGGATACAGGAGGCCTTTGGAGAGGGGCTCCTGCAGGTGACCCCCAGCTCGGCACTGCCTCCTCCCAGGTGTGCTGTCCCGGGGCCGGGTGCGCTGCCCCTGGCATGGCGCCTGCTTCAACATCAGCACCGGGGACCTGGAGGACTTCCCTGGCCTGGACAGTCTGCACAAGTTCCAGGTGGGGCTGGGTGTGTGGTGGGTGGGAGCCGAGGGGTACAGGGTCAGGGACGGAAGCACCCAAAGCCTGGTTCTGAGCCCCTCCACTTGCAGGTGAAGATTGAGAAGGAGAAGGTGTACGTCCGGGCCAGCAAGCAGGTAAGGGTGTGGCTTGGGCTCAGGTAAGAGGGAGAGCCCGAGGTGGGCATCTGGGCCCAGGGAACAGCTTGTGCAAAGCCCTGTGGTGGGAGGGAGTCTGGTGAGTGTGGCCGGGGAGCAGAGTGAAGGGTGCAGGGCGGGGATGAGGCTGGCCTGCTGGGATTGTGTCAGGGAGGTTGGCCGTGCCCCCAGCTCCCAGCTGCCCGCCCCCCCCTCTGGCGACTCCCAGGCCTTGCAGCTGCAGCGAAGGACCAAGGTGATGGCCAAGTGCATCTCTCCAAGTGCTGGCCACAGCGGCAGCACCAACGTGCTCATTGTGGGCGCAGGTTGGTGTTGGCATCATGAGAGGCAGGGTGGGGTGGGGGAGAGGTGGTCCCTGATCCGAAACCCCCTCCCCTCAGGTGCTGCCGGGTTGGTATGTGCGGAGACCCTGCGGCAGGAGGGATTTTCAGACAGGATCGTCCTGTGCACGCTGGACAGGCACCTCCCCTATGACCGGCCCAAGCTCAGCAAGGTGGGGTGGGGTGGGGTGAGTTGGGGTTGGGGCTCTATCCCTTTCGATGCAGTCAGGCCCACTCAGAGCTTTGCTTGCTGCCCATTTGGGGGGTCCAGCCAGATGCCCTCTGCTCATGCCCCAGAGTTTGAAGATCTGGGTTTGTTGAGTTCTGTCCTGCACCCCCTGTGTGACCTGGGGCTGGCTCCACCCTCTCGGGTCCCAGGTCCTCTGTTGCAAAATGGAACGATGGCTGCTTGGCTCCATCTCAAGCTGGCTCTCTCCTACAGTCTCTGGACGCCCAGCCTGAGCAGCTGGCCTTGAGGCCCAAGGAGTTCTTCCGAGCCTATGGCATCGAGGTGCTCACGGAGGCTCAGGTAGTTAGGCTCCTAAAGATATGGGTGTGCTCTGCCCTCCTGGCCTTGCTGCGCAGGCACCCGGGGGTGCTCCGGGCCTGGGAGGCTGCACTGGATCTCCTGTTTGGCAGGGTCCTGGACACATGTCCCAGGTTCCCAGTGTGGGGGCATAGATGATTTTCTTGGGGCTTGGATGGAAGAACCTGGTGGGACTTGGGAGTATAAGATGGGCTTTGAGGGAAAGGTGAAACTTAAAGAGTGAGGAGGGCCCTGGCCAGTTTTCTCAATGGTTAGAGCATCAGCCCTCGGACTGAAGGGTCAGGGGTTAGATTCCAGTCAAGAGCATGTGCCTGGGTTGTAGGCTCAATCCTTGGCCCCGGAGGGCGTGAGTATGGAAGGCAACCGATCAATGTGTTTCTCTCACATCAATGTGTCTCTATGTCTCTCACCCTCCTTTCCACGCTCTCTCGCTCTAAAACAAACAAACAAAAAATCCTTGGGTGAGGATTAACAAAAAAAGAAATAAAAAGAGTGAGGAGGAATTGCCAGGTGACGGAGGAAGGAGAACCCAGGTGGCAGGAAAAGCCCCCATGGAGCTGCTTAGAGGGACTGGCCATGCCCTGGGGGTACTGCAGGAGCCAGAAGAGGGTGGCTGGGCCCAGGTCCATGCTCTCTCTCGGGGGGATTGCAGGTGGTCACAGTGGACGTGAGAAACAAGAAGGTCGTGTTCAAGGACGGCTTCAAGCTGGAGTACAGCAAGCTTCTGCTGGCTCCCGGGAGCAGGTGGGAGTGTCTGCCCTGTAGGCCCCCTGCTGGACACCAGGCAGGGCACCGGCCAGGCTGGGTGGGCTCAGGGTGCCAGAGCCCCTCACCGACACTGGCTGTGTCTCAGCCCTAAGACCCTGAACTGCAAAGGCAAAGAGGTGGAGAACGTGTTTACCATCCGGACGCCTGAGGATGCCAATCGCGTGGTGAGGCTGGCTCGGGGCCGCAACACAGTGGTCGTGGGAGCCGGTTTCCTAGGTGAGCGGCTGTGGAGAGTGGGGTGGAGGTGGCCGGTCCCCAGGCAGTGCTGGTCCTGGGAGGTGCAGGGTGCCAGCCGCTGCCTACGACCCCGGCCCAGGGATGGAGGTGGCTGCCTATCTGACGGAGAAGGCCCACTCGGTGTCCGTGGTGGAGCTGGAGGAGACACCGTTCAGGAGGTTCCTGGGGGAGCGTGTAGGTCGTGCCCTCATGAAGGTGAGCCCACCCTGGCCCCCAGCCCCTCAGAACCCTGGGCACCCAGCCCAGCCCCAGACGGGCTCTCACCTACCGCCCATGGCCCACCTGCCCTGACAGATGTTTGAGAACAACCGGGTCAAGTTCTACATGCAGACGGAGGTGTCGGAGCTGCGGGCCCAGGAGGGAAAGGTGGGCCCTTCTCCCTGCCCCCGGCCGCTCTCTGTCTCCCCTCCCTGGTGCCCGGGAGCTGGGCACACCTGCTCACCCGCCTACTCCCCACAGCTGAAGGAGGTCGTGCTGAAGAGCAGCAAGGTGGTGCGGGCTGACGTCTGTGTGGTGGGCATCGGTGAGTGGGTGGACAGGCGGGCATAAGTGAGCAGAGCCTTGAGCCAGTCCCTTCCCTCTCTGAGCCTCAGTGTTTTGTTTTGTTTTAAGGTTTTTATTGATTTTAGAGAGGAAGGGTGAAGGAGAGAGAGAGAAAAACATTGATGATGAGAGAGAATCATTGATCGGCTGCCTCCTGCACACCCCACACTGGGGATTAAGCCCGCAACCTAGGCCTGTGCCCTGACTGGGAATCGAACTGTGACCTCCGGGTTCATAGGTCGACACTTAACCACTCAGCCACGCCGGCTGGGCATCCTGAGCCTCAGTTTTCACAGCTATAAAATGGGAACCACCACTATACCAGCTTCAAAGGGCTGTTGGGGAATGGGCACACGCGGCTTGGCCACTGCCCACTCATACTTGAGTCCATGGGCTGCCCTGTGAGGGCCGCAGGACACACATGCCTCTAGCTGGTCCCTGATCCAGTTGAGATGCCAGTTTGGGAAGGGACAAAGCTGGGGGTGCAGTGCAGGGCTGGGGTGGTGTGGTATGCCCACCCTACCAGGGGGCTTCCTGGGCTTCTCAGAGGAGGTGACACCCGAGGCCTAGCGGGAAGCACGGAGGTCTGTGGGGATCCAGGCTGAAGGGACAGGACTCACACAGGCAGCAGGGCATGCAGCCCATGGATGGTCAGCCTGGGGCTGGTTGTGACCAGTGAAGGGTGTGGGCCACGCAGAGCGATGAGACAAGAGACGTGGACACAGCGGCCCCATCCTGTCAGGTGCGGTGCCCTCCACGGGCTTCCTGAGGCAGAGCGGCATCGGTCTGGATTCTAGAGGCTTCATCCCTGTCAACAAGGTGGGGCTGGGTAGGGCGGGAAGGGTGCTGGGCTAGGGGCAGGGGGAGCCCCAGGGCAGGGCCCCTTTCCCTCTCACAGAGTCCTGTGCCCTCTCCCCACAGATGATGCAGACCAATGTCCCAGGCGTGTTTGCGGCCGGAGACGCCGTCACCTTCCCCCTGGCCTGGAGGAACAATCGGAAAGTGAACATCCCACACTGGCAGATGGCTCATGCCCAGGGTATGGCCAAGCCCACAGCAGAATAAAGGGGGTGGGGGAAGGGGGAGAGAGGCTGTCCCAGGACCTCAGCCTCCCCCAGGCCCATCCCTCAGTTTCTGACCTTGGGCCCTGATTGCTGGTGGCAAAGGCAGTCAAAGCTCTGTGGTGGCCTGTCTGGGCCAGCCTCATCCAGGTGATCCAGTGGCTCACAGAGCAAGCCCTGTGTGTGGCCCGTCTCCAGAGACCTCCCTCCTGTGCTAACTGGACACCCCTTTCAGCCAGCCACAGCACCCCACCCCACTTGTCCTTCCAACAACCTCTCCTTTAAAAAAAAATATATTTTTATTGATTTTAGAGAGGAAGGGAGAGGGAGAGATAGAAACATCCATCAATGATGAGAGAGAGTCACTGATTGGCTGCCTTCTGCACGCCCCACACTGGGAATCAAGCCCCCAACCCAGGCATGCCCCAACTAGTCACCTCCTGGTTCATAGGTCCACACTCAACCACTGAGCCAAGCTGGCTGGGCTAACTGGTTTGCATTTTAGAAGATTACTTTGGAAATAATGTGAATGATAAGAAAGGAGGAAAGTGATATTGAAATCAGGACAGTCACTTAGAAAACTGTTGTTTAAATGAGAGTGGCTTTAGGTGGGGCATGATGTCTTTTTTGAGTTGGAGGTCATTAATCCCCATTTTAAAGGCTTAAAGAGACCACTGCTGGTACTAATTTCTGTTCAGATCCAAGGTCTTAAGTTGGGGCTAGGTTGTTGTTGTTTTTTTAATATTTTTTTAATTGATTTCAGAGAGGAAGGGAGAGGTAGAGAGAGAATTATTAATCGACTGCCTCCATCATGCCCCACACCCGGGATCGAGCCTGAAACCCGGCCATGTGCCTGACCGGGAATGGAACCGTGACCTCCTGGTTCACAGGTTGACGCTCAACCACTGAGCCATGCCAGCTGGGCAGTGCTAGGTTTTAAGGAGCCAGAGGCTACTCATCAGTGTAATGGGAGGGTCCAGGGGACTCTCACAGACATCCAACCATAGGGCTCCAGTGGGGCTTCATGAACTGGGAAGCCACCATCGTTATTCTCTCTGGGGCCCTGGCTGCTCTCCTGCCTCCCTCTTCAGACCCCATATGTCCCATGAGTTGCCTGTGCGCACACCTGAGATGGCCGGGCAGCCCCACATCCCCAGGAAACCCACCTTCCAGACCCAGGACCTTTCATTCAACAGCTGTAGAAAGTGGTAAAGCACTCACTGGAGGCGGGTACAGGGGGCAGTTAGGGGGGCACAGGACCCTGACCCGGTGGAACCCCATCGCTTCTGCTGGGATCACGTGGACACCGCCCGCCTGCCCGGCCCACAGGGTACGGAGAAGGCTTCGACGACGTCATCATCCAGGGGGATCTGGAGGAGCTGAAGTTCGTGGCTTTTTACACCAAGTGAGAGCATCGGGGTGGGGCAGGGGCACGAAGCCGCAGGACCTGGTCGGTAGGGGGAAATCATCCCAGAGAAGCCTTGCTCCAGACGAGGGGGCTTCCCGGAGAGGTGGGGTGGACGGAGGGGCGAAGGGAGGGGCAGGCAGGAAACACCGCGGAGGAGAGGCGAGGGAGTGGGGTGAAAAGTCCACCTGCCACGCATCGACAGGACATTTGATCCTTAGCACAGCTCTTTGAGGTGGGTGTGGCTTTCCCGCGTTTACACTGAGGGAAGTCACATAGGTAGGCAGTGGGAAGCCCAGGACAGGAGCCCAGCCCTGAACCTCCATGGGAGTCCCACAGTAGCCCAAAGCCCAGGTTGGGCTAAAGTGCAAAGCAGCGAGGGTTGGGTGCTCACAACATACCTGTGGTCCTGGGTAAGATCCCTTCCTGAGTCCCAGGTGGACAGGAGTGTGTCAGGGTCTCCGAGGAGAGGGTCATTACCAGGCTCAGCCACCCTCTCCCCACAGAGGCGACGAGGTGATCGCCGTGGCCAGCATGAACTACGATCCTATTGTGTCCAAGGTGGCTGAGGTGCTGGCCTCGGGCCGTGCCATCCGGAAGCGGGAAGTGGAGTGAGTGTGGGCAGTGGAGGCCTGGGGAAGGGGACAAGAGTTCTACCGAAGGACTGGCTCAACCTTCCTGTGGCAAGCAGCTGCACCCCCGCCCTCCAGGGCGTCCCCCCACTCTCGGTCCCCATCAGTCTGTGGCCTTTAGTGCTATGGGGCCGTGTAGGGCATAGGTTGTGATTTGGGAGCGGGGCTGGTTATATGTGCTCTTGGGAGACAGAAGGAAAAGGGCCATGTCCCAGGGCAGGGTCAGTGCTGTGGGGAGTGGTCAAGGCTCACTGCTTGGGCAATCCCTGAGCCTGGGACATCTGACTGGACATGGCTGTGCTGGGCCTGGCAGAAGTCAGGTGGGGAAATGCAGCGAGTGATGCCCTGCACAGATGTGGGTGATTGTTCGGGGTCTGGGAGACACTGGACACCAGTCATTACTCTCATCCCAGGATCAATGGGAGTCCCCCTGTAGGTTCAACCTACCTACCTACAAAGAGCCTCCAGGGACTGGGGAAAGCCTGGAGGCCATGGGAAGGGGGTAGGCTTCAGACTAGCAACAACGGACCACCAAGAGGGGACATAAATGACATGCTCTTCCCTGGCCTTCTCTGTCTCTCCCTCTTGCACTCGCAAAGGCTGTTTCTGCTGCACAGCAAGTACGTGTGCCCTGGCCTTCCTGTTGACTATTCCGAGCCGTTCCCCACTCAGCCCAGAGTCTGCACCTGATGGGCTTTCCCCTTTACCCAAGTACATCCCTGCTGCACACCAGACCCCTGCTGTCCTCAAGGGCCAGCTGCTCATGGTGCTGAGTGGGGAGCCTGCGCTCTTCTTCCGCCCTGACTCCTCCTCCCCTCCTTCCTGCAGGACCGGCGACATGTCCTGGCTCACAGGGAAAGGATCCTGAGCTTGCATGCAGCAGACTTGGGCAGGCATGCTCGGGCACCAGGGACAGAGACCAAGCCCTGGGGGCAGGTGCCAACCTCCAATTTCCCAGGATCCCCCAGGGCAGAACCTGAGCCCTTCCAGTGCTTGCCATCAGCTGCCTGGCTCACCTCCAAAGAGGCCTCCACTGTTTCCAAGAGATGCTCACCACCCAAGGCCTCGACTGCCACCAATGGCTGGCAGCGGAGGTGGGACAGGCCCTGCCTCATCTCCCTCTGTTGGGACCGATCCCCTGTAGGACCCTGCAACATATTAGACATTATCTCAAAATTAAAACGCACACATTTGCAGATCTGTGTGATTTCCACTGTAATTGGGCAGACACTCATGAGGGAGAAAGCACATGACAGGGAGACAGGCACAACCATAGATTGCTCAGGGCCACACCAAGGAAGTTTGGCCTGTGAGTGCCCAGGAGAGGGAGCAACTGATTCTGCCCGGGGGTTAGGAAGGGCTTCTCCAACCAGTGTCTTGGTTTTGGGTGTTGAAGGAAGGGCATTCCAGGTAGAAGAGACTGCAGGTGCAAAGGGCTTGACACGGGGCGTGCTTTCTCAGAGCTCAGAGGCAGCACGCGTTTGGCAGTTTGCGGGCATTTGCCCACTTAGGGCTGTAGGAGCTGGGTCCTGAGACAGGCCTCAAGCTTCTCAAGGCAGCCAGAGGTTCCCAACGCCGCATTTCGCAGGTGAAGAAACTGAGTCTCTGCTGTTAGAGATAAGAATCCAGGGCGTCTGCGCTACGCTGCCTCTCAGCCAATAAGAACAAGGAGGGTAGGCGCGGCGGCAGGTTCGGGCTGGGGTCCCAAACAGGAAGGGGAAGAGTTGGCTGCCGGCGGAGGCCGCTGCGAGCTCGGAACCGTCCACCAGGGACCCCGGGAGCGGCGGACGATCACGGCCGAGCCCCGCGCAGACAAGGCATGCCGGGAACAGCGGCCGCTCACCGGACGGCGTGTGGCAGGGCAGGCGTCGGGGAAGTGCAGTCGGACGGGGCTGGGGATCGGGTGCCCGCACTCCGTGGGGACTGTTTCCCACAACCTCGGGTACCGGGTGCTGCGCCCGGCAGCTGGGCCAAGATGAGCTTTAGGCTTGTCGGGAAACGCCGACGGACCAAAGCGTGGCGTCAGCCGGAAGTGCTGCGCCGTCGTCCCAGTGCACGCCGGGAAATGTAGTCCCTCCGGGCCCCAGGGCGG